CAAAAGTACATAAACAATATTGAAATCCGAAAACAACATTTGGTTTTACAATCTGAATGAATCAACTTTCAATACAAAATCAATAATTTCATTTTATTGCTTCAAGCTTCAACTACATAGGTACCACTTATCGATCTTTGGAAGCTCCATGCAGCTCTTGTGCGTTATCCTTTTTGTGTGGCCGAAACTTGGCCTATTTCTTTCTCTCATTGCAAAACAATCCAGCTGTCGCTTTTAGATTTCTTCACTTAATTCTGCAAAATAAGCGACAATTCCGTAGCTCATAGGTCCACCATTTTCGTGAAGTTGTAAAAGGATTGTTCATCGCAGCATCACAACAGCCATCACTTTCCACCCCCTGCCAATTCCGGTTGCTTTCCTTTATACGACAAAGGTGACTTATACGTTTGGTAATAATGAGCATTTGGGTGAGCCAAAGACGTACTTCGAAATACAGAACTAACTTCGAGATAGGTGCCGGGCAACTGGAGGAGATACGGTAGAAGCAACGTTAGACCTCCGTCGTCCTTCAACCACCAAACATCTGAAAGACACGATAGATAACTGCATGAAAGAAGCGATACCGGTTTTAAAAATGTTCAGCTCTCTCAAGCCCTTTATTTTTTTGGAACAGGAGGATATAAAAGTGAGCCATGAGAGAGCTGTCGATCAATTGAGGTACCTACCAATGGTGCCTCTTTGTATCCTGGTTCGGAAGCGATCTAGTTGAAGAACAAGATCGGTGTTTTGAAGATCCCTCACACTGAAGGTAAAAGAAAATTTATGGCTTCTATCACTTAAGATTGGAATCTTACCTGTGTTTTGAGACAAGCTGGAACCTATTGTTAGCCTTTGCTGCTGCATCGCTTATCTCAGAATCCTGAAAAAGGTGATCAGCAGTAATGGCGCTCAACACCTCAGAATAAGGAGTCACTTCTAATTGCGAATCACCACTTGATTACTCAATGTACTTTCAGAATGACGTCGTTTTGTCCTTCTTGTTCCTATCTGGGTTATCTAAAGCCCGCTGGTTCTGGACGAAATGACATCTCGTGCAAGAAATATGGAGTGGCACGCAAACGCAGAGATGTACTCATTTGACGCCACGACTTAAAACGTTGAGGCGCTAGAACCCAAGGATCCTGCCCGCAAATCGACGCTATTCGGTATCGATGCCACTGGAGAGTGGAGTTTTAATCTCAGTCGTAGACGCCACTCACCAAAGAGACTCGGAAGCTGGTTCGATCACATCCCCAGAGTGCTCGAACCCATGTGAACTTCATCTCTCAATCATCACGCCACTGCCTCCAACTACTAGCTCATTCAATCTTTATGCAACTTTGATTACTCACAATTTGCCCCAAGCCCATCAAGCAGTAAAAGAAAAAATGGGTCTATTCTACGGTACTCGCCGTAAAAAAAACGTCAAAAACACGCGAAAAACGCGAATTTCGCGTTTTTTTCGTTTTTTCGTTATAACTCGGTTCAAAATTGAGATTTTCAAAATCTGAAAAAAGCGTTGAACTCAGCTCGTCGAGTTCTATAAGAATGCTTTTAAACTTTTAAAAGCCCTACTTCAGATTGCGCCATGCACTCGAGCTTTGGCTCGAGAAAAAATTGTTTGAATGTGGTGCGCATATAATCCCGCTTATGCATCATGATCTTTCTTCAGAGAGATGGGTCTCAGCAGTTGCCCCAGAACGCGCCGCGTATTCAACATCGTCCATTGTATTGTGAATGGATCGATTGCTTTTTTCCAGATTTCATGGTCCCTATTCCACAGCGGCGCGTTAAATGACTTAACACGTAGTCCCTGCGCTCAACATCTCCTCCTCTCGTGTTCAAATGGAAATCATAGATCAATTCTCGGCTGGACAGTTAGCCTATCTGGTGAAATTTTCCAATGTTTGAGCGAAGGTTTTTCCGAAATCTGAGGAGGTAGCGGGGAAATTTCTTCACAGTTGTAGAGTACGCTTACTTGTGTGTAGAATAAGATCACACTTGCTTGCAGATGAGCGCTTCCTCCGTGCTGTGGCTGTGAAACATGCCTCCTCGTCATGCCCTTGTGGAAAGATCAGATTTTTTGCATTTCCAGATGAACTCGCAGACCTGAAATGTGCCCCGTTAGATTCCCCGTGAAAAATGCTATCGAATGATATGCATTACTCCTCCCAGTTGAAACTTTGGTTTTTCACCGTTTTCAGCCTTCCCCTATTGCCGGATTGGGCTATCCCACGATTACTGCCCCAAAATCTCAAAGTTTCATTTTTCGTCGAAACTTTGCCTATTGGGGTAATTCGATGCCCTGATTACGAATATGACATTCATTTTTGATGCTGGTGTCATTTGGCGCCAATTGGCGCCAAAGACGATTTCGCGTTTTTTTTCGTTTTTTCGTTATAAATCGGTTTAAAATTAAGATTTTCAAAATCTGAAAACAGCCTTGAACTCAAATATTTTAAACTTTTAAAAAGCCCTACTTCAGATTGCGCCATGCACTCGAGCTTTGGCTCGAGAAAAAATTGTTTGAATGTGGTGCGCATATAATCCCGCTTATGCATCATGATCGTTCTTCAGAGAGATGGGTCTCAGCAGTTGCCCCAGAACGCGCCGCGTATTCAACATCGTCCATTGTATTGTGAATGGATCGATTGCTTTTTTTCCAGATTTCATGGTCCCTATTCCATAGCGGCGCGTTAAATGACTCAACATGTACATGACTGCGCTCAACATCTCCTCCTCTCGTGTTCAAATGGAAATCATAGATCATTTTTCAGCAGGACAGTTAGCCTATTTGGTGAAATTTTCCAATGTTTGAGCGAAGGTTTTTCCGAAATCTGAGGAGGTAGCGGGGAAATTTCTTCACAGTTGTAGAGTACGCTTACTTGTGTGTAGGAATAAGATCACACACTTGCTTGCAGATGACCGCTCCCTCCGTGCTGTGGCCATGAACATGCCTCCTCGTCATATGCCCCGTAATAACGATTCGCGTTTTTTCTTTTTTTTTTTCGTTATGATCGTTTCATAAGATTTTCAAAGAAATCTGAAAACAGCCCTTGAAACCGCTCGTCGAGATCTTCCCCATAGAATATCCCCTACATTTCTATCGGCACTACACTGGATTGCGCCATGCACTCAATTTTCATCTCAAAAAGTAGTTGCTCGCATGTGGTGTGTATATAATCCCGCTTATGCGAGCTGACCGCTACACAGAAAGCCTCCTCCTCTCCGCATGCCTCCTCCCCTCTCCCCCCTAACTGGAATAGACCCGAAAAAATGTCCATCTGATCAACAATCAAGAAAACCAACCGTAGCAGCATTACGTCGAACGAATGAAGCAACCGTTCGGATCATTCCGCTCACTGAAATTTTCTTGTAAAAAGGAGTTCTCGAGTGAAACCAGAAATATCGCACCTCCTTTTGGAGCTTTATCCGCGGACTGCTGACTGCATTGACTGATATTACACTGTGCACTGAAAAGGCAGTCAACTGTAGACATGACTTGGTTTGCTGCACGTAGTAAAAACAAAGCCAGCGGTCGTACACCGTCAAAAAAAAGCTTTCAAGAAGTGGTAATTGTCCAAATGCCATGAGACTTGAAGAGGGGTGGGGAAGGGAGGGGGTGAGCGACGAGCTTCAGAGGTTTCCCAGCTCTGCTTGTTTATTGGTTACTTAGGTATTTTCACATAGCAGCAAGCAACTTGAGCAATCACTCACACATGCCGGTTCGAACACTACCCAATTCATTATTAAAAATTAGAAGTTCCCTACCGTTGCTGCAACGGTCTAGGAACGTGAACACTAATTGGCGGATCTTTAGGGTGGAATAGGTTACCTCAACCATCATTCCACTTTACTTGGATGGAGTTGTTTCTGAATTGGGTTATGGGGTTTTTGGGATGGCCAATTACAACAGAAGGGTGCTCTCAATCAATAGCGGTATTGGTCTGATCATGCATGATACCATGTACGCTACCCTCCGCCAGCACAAAAGATAAGGCAATCGATAATTGATTGACCACTTACTAGGGATCGGTATTGATGCCGTTCTCATCTGCGTCGATAGCACTGCCGGAGTTGTTCTGTTTCAGGCGTTCCGTTAGATCAAATCCAATGTGGGAATTGCGGAAAATGGCCACACCCACGTTCTTCTCAAATGCGTTTCTGAAAAAGGACCGTAATCCTTTTTTGCTCACATAGAGTAACTTTGGAATGCGCTGACTAACAGGACAATTTCGTAGAATCCGATGACCGCATCCAAGTTGGACGCTCCTCCCCTTTCCCACTTGGTCTTGAATCCGACCATCAGAATATTAGGGCGCATCTTGCCGATACCTGACGTCTATAAAACACTGAGAAATTGTCGATAGTTTTGAAGGCGACGCTGGAGAACCTGTAACAAAGTCGCAGCTCCTTCCACTTGGTTCTCATTTGCCACAGTCGCCGGAAAAGCGGACACGTCACGATTTGCCAACCACTCGCACATCTGCCGATCCACTTTCTCGGTCATCATGTATGTACGACTACTGACAGGCTGCTGTAACATACAAACATTGCTATGTGATTGTGACGTGCGCCTGCAGCAAGTTCAAGCAACAACCCCAGATGAGGTTTTGCCGAAAATCTATTCTGTGGGTAGGATAGAGTGGCCTGCTAGAATCACAGTTGGGCCGTTGTAGCGCCTTGAGTGCCCGACAATGACAAAAGGTTTCCAAAACAAGCCAATGACGGCCAATGTGGTTAAAGGCAAAGGTCGGGCTCAGGCACGCTAGAGAAGTAATTCCCGTGCCTGGAGGTTGTATGTGGGTAGCTGCACACATTGCAGCAACTTCCCACCTTGAAAAACCCCGTTAAGGCCCCGGGGCGTTCGGTTTCAATCCAGGGCCGCCTGGTCAATCCAGGACCGCCCACCTCCGGAAGTGGTGCGTGGCTGGCATAACGTGTGAAATCAGCTAGGTTGATTGCCGTATCAACCGATAGAACGACTGACATCTCCAGAAAACTTGTTTGTACGTGCCTCTTTCCCCAAGCCAGCCTCCTTCACTGCTAGTGGGAAAGAGGGTTTTGTTAACGGCCTTGTCGACGGTTTTTCTCAGTTTTTTCAAGCAAGCAAGTTTATTGGTTAATCACGGACAATGTATGGCAGACTTATTTCACGACCGATTGACTTCACTTCAAACAGTCTAAGAAAGAAAGGATTTTCTTCTAAGTGGGATGGAACTCCATGAAGGCTCATTAGAAAGTATGGGTAGAGTGATTGGAAAACAGTGCGTTCAGGCAGTTCAGACAAATCGTCTGCATACGCCCCTTCCTCGATCCAAGGGAGAAGAGGAGAAGTCTTTGTTCAAGGGCTCCATTTGTTTAGCCTTTGCTTTTTACTCATTTTCAGTCAATCCGACATCCAATGTTTTATTATAGACCGCTGTTTCATCCAATGTTTTATTGTAGACCGCTGTTACCTCACCACTATGAAATGAGGCTGTAGCTTTAAGGCCGAGACATCGCAGCGCTACCACCGAGCGACCACGCGACTGCGTACCCCCCACACATACGCTTAGAAAGCTGTTCTGACACTCAAATTTTACGAATACAAAGTTAGAAATTTGTTTTACGTGACGTCTTGTCCCCAGCGCCCTCTTCTATTGTAGGTGGGAAAGATGGGTCTGTTCAACATGATAATGTTGTGAGCGAAGTCGACGAGCGCTGGACGAGCAGCAGGATTCCCCGTAAGAAGCAGCATCTACAGAGCGATCATGGTTGTAAGAAGAAATACAAACGTGTAAGCCACAATGTTTTAAGGCTGAATGCGCCATGTATTCAAGTTCCATTCTGAAGCTGTTCATGTATGTGGAGATGCGTTTGATTTGTGTAACGGTGAATGGAGGTAAATCAATGTCAAAGTAAGTTTTGATACCTTTCCTGATGCATACTCCTCACACACACAGTGGATTGTTACGCTGGAAGTTTCAATACGTTCGATCCCACTCAACTCTTCGAAAGGAACTGCAAACGCTATCGGATCGCCTTGGCCAGATCAAACATACTGCTTCAGCAATTAAGTGACTTCGACTACGCATGAAAACAACTCCCTAATGCGTTTTATTTTACATGCATCTCACATAGATTAAAGATCGAAGAAGTCCACAGAATTGTCACGTTAGCAGTCTTTTCGCAACAGGCTAGTGTTCCGGCCAAACGAGCATTCAGTTTCACGAAGGTTGAATGCATGGCGCATCCCATAAAGAATGAATCAACTCTAAGCATTTCATTCCAACCTGAGGTTTGTAACTGAGATCCGATTCTCGTTCCATGTTCTGCAGGCCACTTAGAGTGTTGGTAAAGGACGATCCAGCTAACTTCTGACCAACTTTTATCTCTAAAATCCTCAATTTGCTCAGTAGAAGGATTTGAAAAAAAATTGAAGAGCATGGAATGCTGAGAATAAGTAAATAAAAGTATAAGAAATCTGAACTCACGTGACTGTTTCCACTTGATGTAGATGTAGAATTTGAGGAATGTCAAAATGGCCGCATTAGTGAGCTTCCAACTGACAGCGAGCATAATGTGGACACAGAGCAACGAGCACAGCAACGCCAGCCATCGGTTGAACCATCGATACATGGGTTTCTCAGCTGAAAGAGATCGTTCTGTATAAGGATATGGGCAGAACCTTGTAATCTTGTAGCAAAGCGGCAATGTCGATTAGTGGCATGAAAAACGGAAGATCTCTTGTTGCCACAGGGAAGCTATAGTGAAGTATGGGCGGAACACTCACAGCTCAATCCTAGTACAGGAACACATTGGCGCCGGTCCTTCCACACAAAGCATTCGTGCGAACTGAGCCCATAATAAAAGGGAAAATAGTGCATTGAAAACACTGAATTTAAGCACTTGCTCCATTTTGGGTCAAGGCACTGGAAGGCTGGAAATTAAGAGGGGAGGACAGACGAGAGTGCACAACGAAGGGCGCAGACAACAGCATACTGCGGGCGAGAGAAAACGGGAGCTGTCAGAGGGTTAAGTTCTCTTATTGCGTAATTTCGAGCTCGGGGAACAGGACATCGGCCTGAATGTACATCTCCGTCAGACTCACTGCAAAATTCTTCCACCTGTACTCATCCTGATTGCGTATTTAATTCAATTTTGCAGCCTTGTGAACAGTTTTAGATGGAACTGCTGAAAAGCAGCACCCATTAAAAAACCAAATCAAAGAGTATAATGCTTTATACTGCGACGTCTTGAAACGTTTATTGAGTACGTCCCGCCAACGTGTTCAGGCCACATCCTGATTGCACATTCACCGTCAGTAGGCGCTGCAAGACGAACAAGAAGAACATGAAGAACAAGATCCACACATGAAGCAGTCAGTGCTAATTGACGATAGCGAGAAAAGGAGAAGAGAATCAGAAGAGAGGGCTTCCTTTCTTGTGGGATGAGAACATCTACAAAGCGACAGTCAACTATAAGTAAGACTGACCAAGAAAGGGAACATATTCGAAAACAAGAAAATGAAGAGCGAGCAAGACGCAGACAGCAACGTGTTTGCAACAGTGATTTGCTCAGATGAATGTGCTTGTACACGTGAGGATGTGCATGGATGAAAGTCATGAGCCCTAGTGCTTTTACTACGCTAGCTAACATATTTGGACGTGAAAGTGGGTTTACCTCTGCGGTGTGAACCCTACTATTATGCTTTGCTCGCCAGAAATGGTTCTAGTGAATAATAATCACGCGCTATGGTTTCGAGGCAACTGTCGTGACTTGCGCACGACCTCGAGCAAAGATGCTCCAAGGCCATGCGCGGGAGGATGCCGCAACGCAGCGCATGCGCAGTCAGACTGAGCGTCGACTGTGATAGGCACAGACCCCTGGCTGTCTGCTGCCATTCAAATCGCCCGCGCAACTGCCACGTCAGTCGGCATGATGCAATCGCCTGAGCGGTTGCTCCGTCTCGTCTCGCGTTCGCTTCGCTTCGGCCCTCAGAAGGTCGGTTCGTCTTTGCTTTATTACATCTTAAGCTTAAGGCGGACCTCGCATTGGCCCAAATATCCTTATTTACTTTAGTGTAAAATAATAGTATTTACTTAACTTTATAGTATAATAGGGTAAGCCAGGGTTTCCCCATTGCAATCTCAATGTAGTTATCTCTCAATCGTAGTTTAGGTATTAATCGGGAGTTCACCTTCATCTGTGTAGATTACTTTAAACATGTAGTTTATTTAGTCAACCGTAGTCTTTAGTCAATCGTAGTATATGTTAACAGTTTTCTATTCTAACAGTTTTTACAGGTTATTTTATTGTACTCTGTCTTATTCTATGTTGGTTTACATGAAGTTCAGTAAGTACTCTTTAGCTTTACACCTAAGATCACGCTTACGTTCGCTTTCGCATACACCGCTTATAGCCTGTCTATTACCAGTCAGCTTACGCATTACTCGGTCATGACACATCAGTTACCTAACAACATCAAGGTCTTAACGCTCGCGTTAGTACGCAACGTACTTGTTGGGGTCAGGGAATAGGCCCTGCACATGAGCCCGCAGCAGGCACGCATCTCAGAGCATTCTCGCGCACGCATTCCCTTCCGAGGTGTTGTGGGCACCCACTGGAATCCCACGTTTTGCCGGGTCCGGTGGACAGACCACCGATGCACGCGCTTGCACGCGCTCGACCCCGTCCACCGGGCACGACAGCAACGACATTTTCAAAGGTTTTTTTTCGCTGAGTGAATTGGATGTAGGCATACCCTCACCTGAACGCTTATAGATGGTTGTTTTTTTCTGTTTTGCTTCATAAAAAAGTTATGCAGGGGAGACGGTCAATTCAATCGTCGGCTAATGAGGTCACGCCGCTCACGCGGCGGGCAGCGTCGCGCGCGGCAAATGGTGCGGCGATTTTTGTATGGGCCTTGGCTTAACGGTCCTTGTCCATAAGTTGCTGGTGGGGTTAGAGAACTGATAAGACCAAAGTTCCAGACATCAGTGAGCCAACAAAGAGTCCCCTTAAGATCTCCGCAGTTTTAAGCCTCACTGAACAGAGCTTATGCCATGTAAAGGCCGATGTCAGACTTTGCGAATCGCGCGATTCGCTAGCGTCCGCGGTCGCGTTGCGGTACCAGCCAATTGAGTGATTCACTGGCCGCGACGCGACCGCAGACGCTAGCGAATCGCGCGATTCGCAAAGTCTGACATCGGCCTAAGTTGTCCGTTTGAACATAATTTGACTCCTTTATTATCAACTGCCTGAACTGTTATCAAAAAGCGATAATCTGGCTCAATCGGAAAATATTACGTTCCAAGACGCAGTGGAACGGTGAGGAAGGCACTAACATCAGTATGACAGAATAAGTTTGTAAATAATGGCAAGGACAAGGAACCTGTATTTTAAGGGGGCAGGTGATCATATACCGTGTTTCACGACTGGAAACTTCATCTAATCCTACATTCCCCAATGCTAGAACCCTGAATTCTAGCACGGCCGACGTCGCATCGCGGGCTGCGGCGGCTGGCGCGGCGACCTAGCCACTGCCACGATTGAATCGTCACGCACCCCTAAGCGCCGTGCACTGAATTCGAAACGCTTGTACCGAAGAAAACATGGTCGGAACTCACACTTAAGTGTTGCCATGAAGACAGCGTAGTTCAGAATACAAAACGTTGCCAGGTAATAAATGGTCATTATACTCGCAATAAGATTGAACTCTCCTGAATAAATTCGAACCCTTACTAGCAAGTAGAAAAAATTTCGAGCTTTAAAAGCTTTGTAAAAATGCTGCTGGAATTATTTGACGAAACTCACCGATCATTGTTAAGGCGATGCCCACAAGGGTGATAACGACGAAAGCAACTCGAGGACTATTTTGTTTACCGTATCCTCGACCCATCTTGTCCCAGCCGGGAACAAGGCCACTGCTTTTTCCCACATCCTAGATATATATCTATGATAAGATTAGTACTACCTCTACACTGTATTTGCTAGAAGCTTTGCATGCTGCTACTGGGCTATATGCAGAAACGATATAAACTCAATGAACAAAAAAATATTGGGACAGTACATATAGTTACACCTTTCTCACCTGTCGAGGACCGTGGTGCAAGTGATAAAGAGGCTGAAATTAAAATAATGTGCACAGGGATGCTGGAGCAGTGACGGTGTTCTCCTGGGCGGTTAAAACGGAAGATTACGATAAGATTGGTTTGCGTTCATACTGGATGGGAATTCCGCTCCAACTTCACCACCCCACCCTCTCCCCCTCTTTCCCTCTCACAATTGTGATGCTTACTTTGGGGCATGCGCGTTACTGGTTGAAGGGTGCGCTATACATCAATGTAATGTAATTGTCCGGCCCTTTTTGAATGCACCTGCTCTATGGCTCCAGGCTCAACGAAGAAGCAATGAATGGTACGTATACAAGAGTTGGGAGAGGATATGGGAACTCCCACTGCTTGCGATTTGCTGCAGCTGTGAGCTGCTACCTGATAAATCCGTCAGTTAGCAGTCAGGACTTTCCAGTTTTCTCTTGGTCGAATCGCTGTTGGAGATTAATTTTCATGCCAGCCCAGCAGTCTTTAACCAGGGAGGTGTTTCATCTTCCCATGAAACTTTCCCATTGATTTGAGACCTAGGTAGACCGATGGAGCCTATTATGATGATTATTAATATGAAAAACTAAACTGCTACGCGAACTTGCCATGGAAATTGTGAGCGATGAAAATTGAGTGTTAATGCCGTGTTTATATAATAAAAGTTGTTGAAAGCATACTTGCGAGGGATGCTACTCGCTCCGGTTACGGCGCTGGCGCCAATTTTAGGCCAACGTGGAATATATAACTTTGTCACCACGGGAAATCGAACTTCGCGTACAAGTCCCGTGGCAGGTTCACGTAGCAGTTTTGGTCTACACATTTGTAACCACGATTCCAGGCTTATGGAGTCATCTGCGTCTCAATTTAAAGTTCCACGGGAAACGCCTTCCTAATAAGTGAACATGCGAACCTGAACAAGTAGTGCAGATGAGCGTAAAAAACGCATGTCCCACTTCTCGAGTGAGTACTAGCTGCCAGACGTTAAAAACCTCAGTTGAGAAAGGAGGAGGCAGGCTGATTGGAAGTACGCTATCGTCATAGTATTGGCTTTTTGCCTTACTGGATGCTGCAAATCTGGCAAAGGAACTGGTTGCCATATCGACAGGGCCGTTATTTAGATGTGAAATGGGCCGAGAAATCGACTTGAATTCGGCCATACCACTCCTATCTCAGTTTTCCATGATTTTTCAGTCAGAAGAGTGTGCACCACATATTTATGCTTTTCAGAAAGCTGCTCACCTGTACTGTTTGCGCCGCACTGAGGAATGCCGTGTATGCGCAGTAGAAACACGACAGCAGCACTACTACGGTAACCGGAAGTGATTTCAGCACAGCCTGAAATCTTCGAAGTTCTTCTGAGCCATGCAAAGAACTCTAGATATAGTTAGGTGCTTGTAAATCCATTACTGAATGGTTTTCACGGATTCAATGTTTTCTCAAGTTCAAGGGTTTCTATATACAGGTGGCCAAAAAAGACATTTTGCCCAGGTCGCATACCGAAACGGAAGTTTCCCAGCAGAACATTCCCTAAATGTCCCTCTATAAGTACACGCAGGCCCTCCTTCACTACCCTCACCGTCTTCAGAATATGACGTCATCTGTCACCGTCGTCGAGCTCAGGAGGCCTACAGTAACTGCTTCAGCCTGAAGCTCTTACATAATTTCTTGGATCGATTCAACGTGGGATAGTTTCCTAGGGACATTAGCTCTAACTATGCAAACCCCCTCGGAACCCGCCCTTCGGAACCCGTCGTAACGGTACACGATCAGTCGAGAACCCCATTGAGCTCGACCAGAGCACCATGTTTCCGGGGCAAACTTTTCTGATGCCGTCCACGTAGATGGCCACTATGAAGATTTTCTTATGAAATGAAATGCGCTCTTCAATTCTAAGTTGGGAGCACACGCTTTGAGCTGAGCAAAGTGTGATTAAATCCATTTGAGTCTGGAGACAAAATGTCTTTTTTTATTGGGCCCCCTGCTGCCTGTGTCTGAGCTCGTTCTCTCAAACTCGGATTTTGGTCACACCAAAACTGCCAATGTTGCCACCGATAAGAAAAAAAAAGACGAGTCAAGAGAAAGAACTGACCATATTGCGCAGTTTGTGACCCGGGTCGGTGATGTGGCTAAGAACCAGATGACTGACGGCAAGGAAATGTGCTTCTAAAACTGCCATCAATATGTATATCAGCGACGACAGGATCAAAGCCAGTGAAGTGCCTCGAAATACGTTGTCCTGAACGCGAAGGATCGCTCAAAGTAACGTCTTAAACCTTGTTCATAAACAAAACAATAAATACACTCAGGATTTATTGAGAATGCGCTTGAAGAAAGGTTGAAGTCTTTCGCTTCTTGAAAGGTGCAGTTTAGCCCAGTAAATTAATCTAACATGGTTTCATGGATAAATTGTAAAAATTAGCGAACTACACAACTTATACTTGAAGCTGGCTCCGCATTCAACGGAGATGAAAGCGCTTTTCCTGACCTCATTATTGTAAGAGTAAGCAAGCTTTCTGCAGTTCTAGGATCGATCCATCCACCTCCACGAGCCGAAGAGTGTTAAATCCCCGAATTGGCATAATCTGGGGCGACACGACTTAGCCCGAATTTTAATTCAAAAGAGGCAGTGCAAAGTTAATAAGTACGCCTCTCAGCGCCTAAGGCGCAACCTTTCGACGCGCCTGGGTTAAAAGTAGCGAGAACGGAAATTCGGCTGATCGGTCATGTTGTTCATTTAGGGCAAAGATAATGATACATATGATTAGCAAAACGAGAGATTAGATTCTTAATTAGATGTAGGGTTTGTAGGGTCTCAAAGACCCAAGGCGTGTTCAAAACGTTTCGGAAAGGTTCTGCGCATCTTTGGCACCCGAGTGCTGACGCCTGCCCTCTTACTAACGGCGGCCCCATACATTGTCCTTCTGCGCTCTGATTTCTCCGCAAGGGAAGAGAGCACGGCGCACACATTGATGATAAGAGCTATTCCAGAATTCCGTTCACTTTCTCAAATTAATTCGAGCCTTAGGGCTTCTTTCCGCGGTCCGCCCTTTGGTTTGACCTTCTTTGACCTCACTTCAACATTCAGAGCGTGGGTCACGATATCATCCTTAAAGGACGAATTCACGATAAGAACGAAGGTCGAAGAAGGGGAAAATGCATAGTTGGGATACAGGCGGACCTCCTGAAGGTGCTGACCAACGCACAACTGGCAGCGAAAGATTTGACTTCGTACGATTTGCTCTGTCGCATATTCCCTCCCTTTACCGCGCCGTGTCTCTCCGTCGCACACTGCCAACCACACGAGAATTCCGTACCACGGATTTTACTATTCTCAGTCGAGACCCGCGCCTTGAACACACATATACTCGAGATCCGTAAGTTGGGGTAGGCGTGTCACCGGAAGTGACGTGTACTTGATAGAATCTATGTGGATAAGCTGCTTCCAATATACATCGCGAGATCAGCAAAGCATGCTGGCAACAGCTTATCCACGCAACTTCTATCAAGTGCACGTCACTTCCGGTGACACGCCTACCCCAACTTTCGGATCTCGACTGTAATGATCCCTTAAAATCTCGCTTCGGAACCCGGCAAGGTTTAGAGCAAACAAAATGGAATGCTAGTATCGCTAGTAAATGGCTTAGATATGAAAATGGCTAATCGCTTCCACCAATTCCAAGCGTCTCGTAGTTCCAAATTTTCGGGATCCCAAAATTAACCAGACACTAAAGCCTTTGAGACAAATGAAGGGTCTTTCCACCACTAAGGTGGTCTTATTGCAGCCAAGAACGCTTGGTTATAAACGCTGCAATACCTTCTTCCGTTTAAAGTTGCCACGAATTGTCAAACCGGCAAATATACAGGTGACAGCGGGAAAGTAAACGACGAATCCCATCGCTTTCTCGTCGTATGGATTGTAGTCGGAGATATTGAACGCTGAACGAAAAGTCTTACTTATTGTTGTGCTATCTAGAGATCTCATGGTGATCTAAACATAAAACAACGGTTCAGCTCAAAAAGTGTGA